TGTTTCCCCTCCCATCCCATGTTGCCCAAACACCACAGCTTTAATAATACAAACCGATGGCAGTTACTAGCCTCTGAATATCAGGTTTCCTTTCCTTTCATTTTTCAGCAATTTTCACTGTTTGCAAGTTAACGCTATATCCCTTTTCTGGGTCGGAAAAAGATTCCCATAGCTACGGTGGTGTTCAGCTGAAACAGCTGGACACTTTGCAATTATCTTGACTGCCCCCACAACGTGCAAAGACAGACTCATGTTTTCCAGATGAAACCCAGCATAATAGTCTACTAATATGCTGTGGCACCAAGCTGGGTTTATTGTGGGATTTCTGCAAACTGTACCAGAATGATATCATTTCCTGTAAATGAGGTCTTCCATATATCATTTTGCCATCAAAAGTCTTTTGCCAAACCAGATTTTACAAGTATTATAAAACATCTGGAAAAGCAGCCACACAAAGCTTTAATCTTTTCAAAAACAAGCAGAAGAGCCGAGTTCACATTTCAAGTCTTTCTTATATTATAAAGATCTTGTTTCTTTCATTTGCCGAGTTCATCCTCTCTTGCTACGCATTAAAAAAGTCTTAACCCAACTCCTCTGATGCCACCCATTCGCATTTCCCCGCTTCACCTATGTCCACCCCCCACATTGCGGTATTTAAGGTTGCGGAAAGGCAACAATTATTGCGCGGCGCTGCTGCACTCTCCAGCCTGCCCGGTGCTGAAGCACCGCCGCCGCCACTAATCACGACGTGCTCTGGAGATGAGACCGACCGAATCAATGCCTTTGTGCAAAGCAACTTGGTGACTGGAGTTGGCAGTTTTTAGTGTCTCTATTCAGCATGTGGCAGCTGCAGAAAATATTCCGGCAAGAAACAAAGCATTTCTCACAAACAAAGAATAAGACAAGTAATAATTTCAGATAATAACACTCCAAAGAATTTGTAACTGGTGCCTGGGATCCTAGTGTGGTATTGACTGCAAGGTGTCCTTCCTTGGTGTCCAGTGATATTTCAGGCTGAAGTGTATGTTTTAAAACGCATTGTCTCAAGTTAAGAAAATGCTGTTATTTGCAGGCAGAACATATCAGCAAGGTGGTATATTGCTGATATGACCTACACAGGCCACCAGGAGACTCTACTTCTGTCTCCGAGTTGGTCGTTCAACTCGCTTACCTTACTGCCCCTGCCATTACCCTGGAGTTTGTACTGAAATCCCTTTGTTACCATTAAAAGAAAAGTTAAACCTACTATTTCCGAGGAACAGCATACTGCCACTGAAGCAGCTTGTCTTGGTGCTTATCAAGAAACGCACAGTCATAGCAGGTAATTACACCCCAAAGTGATATCTGTCGGGGGGGGTGGGGGTGGTGAGGTGGCTGGGCAGAGGGAATAAAAAAAACCTTGCAAGTATTTGGGACCAGCTTCTGCACCCAGTCCTCATGTTCTGAGCAATTTGTCCCTCTAAGGAGCCCTCTGTAAAGGGTCTCCACATTCTGGGCTTTTGTTAGCCATGTCTGTGCTCCAACTTCACCTTTATTGGGGTTTTCACGATAATCAGTTAGTGGGGAACCCTTTCTCTTAGTAAAATTCAAACCATCCCCAGTGGTTTTCTCAGATGTGAGGTAGATGGAGGAAATGAGAAGACAGCAAACTAGACAAAAGCAAAGGAAACTGCAATTTATCACTTCAAGGTATAGTACGTTAAACAGCAACTTAAGGCTACAACAAATGGGCAGTTGCTAAAAGCTCTACCCGTTTTAGGCATTCTTTACCAATTGACCACAGGGAAGAAAAAAAAAAAAAAAATTAATCCTTAGCACCAGGGAGCAATAGCATTCATATCATTGGCATTGCTTGTTAGTGTTGATACTGCAGTACATGTTGTTTGGTATAACGATATACAAGTCTTGAAACAAATTTCCCAGCAGTAGTATCCTTGTATAGACTGAATAAAGGTTATTTTCTACAGGGAGGTATCTTATAAGAAAAAACAGTAGGGGAGACCATAGAAGTGAGAGGATCCTATGGAGCTTTTTGTATTTAACAACAATCAATGGGTTTTATGGAAAATCATTGAGCAAAATGTGAGCTGCAAGCTCACTACCCCATACTGATGTTATTTATAACCTTAGTCTTAAACTGCAGGAAAAGTACACTTCCGTTCTATGGGGAATACATTAAAAGTATAAAGAGCAGATAAAAAGACAGAGCATTTCATGGATCACCAAGAACAAAATCCACTTAAATGAGCTTAGAGTTGGTTTCTTGGCTTTCACTGATGGAGAAGGACTATAAGGCATTGCCCAAGAGGAAAAAGCTGTTACCTAAGTGTGTTTGTTACCTCATGCATAAACATGGGACTACTGTAACACACATACATGCGTATACGGTGTTTGCTTCTAACTACTTTAACTCTGTCAAGACTGTATTATCATTTCTTATGATTAGGGCAGATTTCTGCTTCTGCTTTGCATACGTGGGTTGTCTGTTTGGGTTTTTAGTAAGCATTTGGGTGATAGAAGATGAATAGCTGCTGGTTTGCAAGATAGCAGGAAGGATAATTTTTTCCCTTCTGTGTTGCCTAGGTAAATCATCATTAACATCCTCTATGTGAAGTGCTAACCACAGTAATAGAGGTTTTAACTTAGCAGGGATGCAGCCATGAAATATTTGTTCAGTAACCCTATCTGTAGAAAATGGCACAGTATGAAGAGGGTCAGCTGGTGCTTATCCAGCATCAGCAGGGTCTCCAGCTCGTCTACTGAATTAAGTCTCAATGCCAGGAACATTGTTTCTCACTTGTTTAAAAAAGAAGGAGGGGAAAAAAAAGACTAAAGTTACTTTAGGGGTACACAATAAGAACATTTTAGCTGCCAGATACCAACATTATTGGCTAATTTAAGTCCCAGATTAAATAATACATTCTAAAGACATGAGACTCAAACACAAGCATGCTCCTCACAATAAACTGGATAATTATTAAGAACAAAGAGAGGAGAGGAGAGTTTATGATGTAACTTGTTACCTGCAGATGGCAGACTGGCTATAGGCTGGGCCTTCGGTGGCGCTTAGGGCTTGGCCAACTTGAGTCTGTGTCAGGCCAAGGGACAGGCGCCGGATTTTAAAAGCTTTGGCAAATTCTCGGATTTCTTCCAGATTCACCCCATCCACCTCTCCAGTGGCTGTTTGAGGATCTGTTGAAATATTTTTTTAATCATGTCAGTTCTTCGCGTCACATATGAGTGGGCTAGGCTTACACCAGCTTTCATTGTCAAGATGTTCATGTTCATTCTTTTTTTTAAATACTTATCCCTTTCTCTTCTTCCCCAAACAGAAACAGGCTTGCCTTGTCAGGCGTGTTACGAAGCATGTTCAGATTGCTAAAATGCTAACTAGGCTGCAGTGTTTCCAGGTGCTGGTGAAAGATTTTCAAAGACATACTTTGTTGCTGAACTCCTGAAAATGGCCAACTCACCTCCGAGTGAGGAGGTGCCTGGGCTCCTCACTGCCATTTGTGCCGTGCAAAATCTCCCCCAGGCTGACAAGTCATGTCCCCCATTTCCCCTTCTTATTACATACAGAAGGAAGGGTGGTGTTAATATATTTATTTGCAGTCTGTGGGGAGGGCTAAATATATGCATGAACTACTTGGGTTTTTAATTTGAAATCAAGACTTTCTGCTTTATCTAAAACTAATGCCAAATAAGGAGATTCACAAACCTTCCTTCCCTTTTGCACAATGCCCAATCCAACCCACCAGCCAAATGTCCAAAATAACCCAGCAAATGAACAAGCCCAAACAAAATGCTGCCTTTAAAAACTCCTTAATTTAAAAATCATCTTTTAAAATATGCCCTTCTGAGAAGCAGCCTGCCAAGCTTTTCATTCTGCCTCCCATCAGGTTGATAATCAAGGAGCAGCAACATCAGCCATTAGGTTTTGGATGGTAATGCTGCACGATTTTTTTACTTTTCTATTAGCCCCTCAGAAGATAATGCTTATGATGCTGTGAGAATAAATCTGTCCTTCCTCTCCATAGCAGTTTACTGACACAGAAGCCTTTGTTCCTGAAAGGGCACATAATAAAGCATGTCTACCACAGGAAAGCTCCTTTGGTGCTGGATAACTCGGTCAATTTAGGACTTATCAAGGGAAATGACACAACAGCTGGAGAATGGAACTTCCCCCCCCGCCCCAAGCTACTGATACCTGGCTAAATAAAAGCATTTGCCAAGTCGGAGACAGCATGGGACTGGGATGGTGGAAGATTTCAAAGTGTTGTGCAATCCTGCATGTAGCGAAGCCATTCTCCCAGCGAGACATCTCTATTGTTCTTCACCTCATTCCTCAGACTTCTTAGGTGAAAAGTTTGCAGCACAATAACCCATCAATTTCTGTAAATGCAAGCAGTTGTCCAAGGACGGTGCTAGACTACATTACTATTGTGAACCCTATATGAGAGTGGTTCCTGCTAGTACTGCTATAGCTAAGGGCTTGTCAGCATTACAGTCACTAAGCTTTTATTTTCAGGCGTTTATAAACCTGATGTAAAATTCCCTTATGATGGAAATGTCCTATAAGAAAAAACTTTTAGTCCAATAATAGACAGAGGGAAGAGGTTTTTCTGCTGTATAAATTTAGCCTATATCAATTCACAACTTGAGTATAAGAAGAACACATAGCAATAGTATTTTAAAAATACTCGTGTGTGCAACCAGAGACCAGATGAACTATGCATACAGGTAAACACGCACATGGGCTGAACCTAGTTTTGACAATGCTCCACACTCAGAATCGTCCCTCCTGTTGTCAGTGCTGTGCTTGAGCCCACCTGCGCGCACATGCATGCGTTCATTCAGTATAAAGCTAGGGCATGTATTATTTGGTTTTAAGTAGTTGGCGCTATGACAGGGGCCACTCAGGTTTGTAAAGTAATTGCCTTTAGAGGTGTGAAATTTTCCTACTTACCCCATACACAGTCTATCTAGCATACCAGTTCCGATTTGCAGAGACACAGAACGGAGCTGGATGCTTATGTGCCCTTTGGGTCTCTGAAGAGCAACTGATAAATGTACAAAATATCATAAATGATAATGGCCTCAAAGATTCCCTTGAGTAAAGTGCACTAAGATGGTGACCTTCCTCACCTCTTTCCTTCCTGCACTTTAAGGCCTCTGACTAAGGCTATTAGGGATGTGACAAAGGACAATTCAAGTGTTCCCAGAGAACTTTCAAAGTAGCAAACGCTACAGTAACTGGCACCTGTAAACCTCCCCAACTCCTGTTAGGAATAAAAAGGGAGGTAAGAAAGCTAAGGGGTTATTTGCTTGCACATGATTATAGAGGAGTTCTGCTGGATGCTGCTGGTATGGCACTGTTGCAACAGTGAATATCATGCAAAGTCCTTTCTTGCTCAGGGGGCTTGGATGAGGGAACAACTAAGCTGAGCTCTCCTTGAGATGAGAAAAAAGCCTGTGATGCACGTCAGGAGTATGGGAGTAGGTTGTAATATATGGCGGAGTATCTGTTGAGAAAGAGGCTTCATTCTTATGTAGTGTCTTTGGGAGGAGGAAAGTACTAACAGAGGTGGACCAAAACACTGAAGCCTTTTATCCCTCAACTGTAGGGAGAATAGCATTTGTATCAAATCAGAACCACTTCTACTTCAGGTGTGATTCAAAGCCCTTTGAAATCCATATAAGCAGTCCCTTGATCTCTATCAGCTCCGTAAAACTCAAATAGTACTATGAAGACCACTCTATTGACATCATCATATAACAGCACTGGTCTGTTTTACTCTATTGCCATTAAAATGCCATAAATACATAATCTTGGACTCTGTGGACTAATACATACACATACATAAATATATATAAATAGATAATGGACTTTGTTTTAATAAGTTCCAAGCTCTCAGAACAGTTAAGTGTATAGTGCACTTCACATTTTTAAGAAAAGTAGCTTATTGAAGACTGTAAATAAACCAGTGTTTTTTAAATTAAGTGGATATCCTAGAGAAGGCAGCACAGTGCCAGCAGAAAAATAAAGAATACCAATCTCATTGAGTGGCTGGGATCTACAGTAACAGCATTTAAAGTTTCCCAATGTACCTTATGGCTTGATAAAGCAATGGCTGTTGTGTCTATGAAACTACTGGGTGCTGGAGAAAGGTGAGAGTTGTCTGGGACCACTTTAGGGCATATGTGTATATATCCCCTAACAAAAAGGAAGCCAGCTAAAATTCCCCCACATGTCCTGGTGGATGGTGAAGGTGGGTGAGCAGAATGGAAGAAGTAAAATCCATAGGCTCTCCTGCATTGAAACCCCTTTTTTCCTACTGAAGGGAATACTATTCCACTTTTGAATTCTTCTGAAAATCCTGCATGAGTTTGTTGTTGAGTGCAAATTTGCTGTGATTTTAATAGTTAGGGGAAAGAGTTGCTAAAGAAATCAGTGCACCCTGAAGGAGAAAGCAAATTTCTGTTGTGCAGAGTTCTACCATGGGAAGGATTACAGGGGATGATTTCCCCAGTCAGACAGGAGAAGAAATAGCTGGCAGAGGAAGTCCAATGGAAAGTAAATTGGGTAAGAGAGGCAGGACAAAACATTGTTAATGGAAAATGGACTGGTGCTCAGGGGAAAGAAAGAAGAATAATTTGTTTGTGGGAGGCATTTTAATTTTATAGTAACAGATGACAGTAAAATGAATTTGGAAGGAAGAAAGGAACTTCATGGAGAGACAAGTCTCAGAGCATGAGGGGAAACCAGTGATTTCCACAAAGAGAACGTATGGTGGAAGAGTTAAAGAAATGAGAAGAGGGATGCATCTGAGAAGAGGAAAATGAAATGGAAAAAAGGAGGAATAATGATGTAGAATTGAATGAAGAGACGACACAGAAAAGAGAACAGAGAGAGGATGAGACAATATGAAGAAATTATACAGAAGGGACAGGAGGAGTAGAGATTAATCTTGCAGTCCTTGCTTAGGCAGAGCTTCTTTTTAAATGTCCTTTTTTTGGAAACAACCATAATTTTTTGTCTTTAGAAGAACTAGCACTTGTTGCTGGTGAAGGATGAAGGGGTAAGGATGAGATACAAGGGAGAAGCTATAAAGAACACAACAATCCAAGGGAAAACAAAAGGACAGGAAATAAAAAAATAAAGGGAAATTAAAAAAAAAAAGGAAGGAAATGCACTTTTTTAAAATTAGGAAACGTGTTAAAGAAAAAATGTAAAATCATAAAGAAAATATGACTAGAATGAAAAGTAAAAGGAATAAAAACAAAGAACATGGAACACTAAAGTTATTAAAGATCCCTTTCTCATAGTACTTTAGTAATTTCACTGATGTGAGGCAGCCTCTTGTAAAGAGAGTTACTCTCTTTACAGTAAGTGTGCAGAACCTTGCCCCAAATAATTATTTATTTACTGAAGTTATGTTGCTCTAAGCAATTTGATTAACAGAATAAGGTAGCTGAATATGCCCAGTTTTACATGAACAATACTACATTTGGCAACAATTTCTGGAATATGGCAAATCTCTACCAAGGTATTTGACTCTAGGGCCTCTGCTGGAGGACCGGACTGCAGCTTTGGAACGAATGAGGAAAAGGAACCAACGATAGTCCTGCCTCAGGAGAGGTAAAGCAATCAAAGAGGTGTTCAGGAGGCCACAAGCTGTTTCTTGCTGCCCTCATGCCTATGGATTTCCTTCAGGACCACAAAAAGACTTTGAATGGACGTCGGCAGACTCTAAACTTCAATTGTAGGCCTGTTATACAAAGCTCTGCTCTCCAGTGTGGGAGCTGGGACACTAAGAAGGCTTTGTTCAATTATGGGCCATTGGCTTGACACAGCAGTGCTCCTGCCCTTCAGGGATCTGCACCCAGAGACTGAATGGATTCTGCAAAGGAGCAAAACAGGATTAACTTTCTGTCTATTTATTTCCCTGTGTGTGGGCACAGTTGTATGCAAATGGGTTTTTAGTCACATGAAACAATGTTCAAATTCATGAAGATCACTTAAGACTGTTTGTCTAAAAGTGTGGTATTATCAAGGTCAACAAAAAGCTGAAAGGATCCTGTCTGCCTTTTCATGTTTCATTACACAGGTGTTTTGATCTTTCCCTACCAAACTGACCATGCTTTATTCTTTCTTGTAGGCTCTTTCTACATTACTAGAAACCAGCAGGTAGCTCTCTTGTTCCCTGGAACATTGTCACTTACGTGCCAGCTCAAGCAGGCTTACGCATGCAGTGTCAGCTCCAGTTTGTGGTTGGCTAGATGCTCTCAAGAATATACTGGACAGCCATCAAGGATCACTGAGATGACTGTTTCACTTCTCACTGTGTGATAACGCTATGTAAATGGCAGAAATGAATTGATCTGCCCCTCACACTACTCAGTCTGTTGGTCTTGAATAGCTAGGGACTGGACGAAACCTGAAACATAAATTTAGAACAATTCAAGAACTTCTTATTCATGTGTAATTATCGTCATGCTTTTTTATAGGAGATTCCTATAAATACCCTCTCCCCTTGGAATGCTCTTAAGATCTGGGTCCCAGTGAATTAATTCCCAAGCACAACTTCCTCAGTCTGATTGTATGAAAAGTATTTTCTTTACTCTGAGATCCCCACTTGTTGATTTAATCGAGCTTTCTTCTGTTTTGAGCAAGGGAGAAGCACTCCAACTATCTTCTCTGTGCCATTCATTATCTCAGGTAGGGTATTGACTATGGCTAAGTTTGACTGGCATTTGCCATCATAAGACAAATTTCGGGTCAACCACTTCTGAGAATGAGGCTAATAAAACATGTTGCTCTGCCCAGGATAAAAGAATTGTAATAACCTCTTTAAAAAGCTTCAGTTTCCCTAAAACTTGAAGCATGGCCTTGATAGGTGTCAGGGAAATAGTGGTTATGTCAGTAATGGGCTTCTTGCCATCCCAAGTAAAAATCTGTCTCAAAGTCCAAGCAGGTGAGCTTCCTCATTGCATATCTACTCAGTAGAGATTTGCTAGACCTCTGTGTGAAGTTTTCTTTAAGACTTTCTCTGTACTGAGGATGCTTGAGCCTAAGGCTGAAGTAGATGGAGAAGAACCCCCCCTCCTATGGTTGTGGCTCTGGCCTGCTTTGGGCCAGGACGGCAGTAAAGACAGAGAGACTGACTTGCCTCTCTTCTTGGTGATCATTTTCCACACTCCTCTGATGGCTTCCAGGGAGGGTGGGAGTGGTGTCTACATCATGTGAATGCAGAGGGGGCAAAAATTAACCTTGAGTCTGAAGAAAAAGAAATGATGGGAGGGAAAAAACCCCTGAAGACTACTAAGGGGCTAGGATTTGAGTTTGGAGTGGAGGGAGAGAGGGCCTGACTGTGCAGAGAGTAGTAATCACTGTGGTAGAGGAAAGAAAACAGGGAAAAAGAGGCGGCACTAGTGATAAAACAAGGTAGAGGAGGACAGAAACTACCTAACAAAAAGGCTGGTAAAAGGGACACAGATATGGTCTGGGGACAGAGACTGACCGGGAGCTGGAGGGGAACTGAAATGGGAAGAGGAGTTGAGGAATGGTGGACTGCGGGGAAAGGACTGCAGGGAGAAGGCAAGAGGAAAAAAAGCATGGAGGCAAAGGGATTGCAGATTGTGTGGAGAACAGAGTGGGGAAGTAATGGGACTGGAACAGGACAAGTGGTGGAAGGAGTCAAGCCTGAGAGGAACAAGTAGAAAGTCTATGTTCATTAGTGTATCTCCCCCTCTTCCCCAAATTGATATTCCTGTGCCTCATACTCCTCTGCTCTCAGCCAAATCCATGAGCACAGCATATGTCTTATTCCTTTTAGAGCAGGACCAAGAAGATGGTAACACAACCTATCAGCCTCTCCATCCATTCAACTGACAGAAGATCTCGTATTTCCAACTATGAATATAAGCATTATCTCACTGTATGACTGACTGACATTACTATTCTGCTTTTGTAAAAACGTTGAAATTTATCCAAGCAAAAAGATGAAGCTAAAAGAACATCCTTAGAGTTGCACAAGTAAACACTCAGAAGCTACAAAACGCTGGTGTTACAGTAGCCCACAACGCAGTGTGGCATAGTCTTTGAGCCCCGGATTACCAGTTCTTTTTCCCCAGACCCCTGCCTCAGCCAGTGCACAGGACAAATTGTGCTTCATTATGGAGGAACTGATTGATTTGTTACCTTTTTACTTGTTCAGTGTGTGGCCCCAGACCTCTATTAAAGCTCTTCACCAAAGACGTAGTTATTAATTTCCCCTTGAGCTCTTCTATTTTTTCAAATCTTAATTTATTTTCTTGTGTTTCTACAAGATGAGGGTCTTCCCCTTCTCATTCACAGAGAAGTGGACAGATATTAAGGGAAAAAACATTTTTGGGTACCCAGTCTAGGTCAAGTAGGAGATGATTTTTTAGACTGTGTCTTAAATGGTTCTTTATACAGTTCCACAGTGAAAGTGCACTTAAAATCGTAACTGTGAGTACTAGGTTCTTCTGTAAATTAAAGTCCAGCGTCTCAAGCTGGATATTGAGGGAGCTCTTGTGAAAAATCTATTTTAAGTGACTTGTCTGCCATTGCACTGGAATTACATGGCAGACAGAAAGCTTCAGCTCCTCAGCCCTCAACCGCCTGAAGCAAGACCATCCTTCACCCTTCTACAGCTCCCTACCTCGAATGTTATGCAAACTGGGGAACAGTTTAGTGGATCAGGTAGGGAACAAACCCTGGGACAACAGCCCGCCTGTTGCATCAGTAATTCTGATGCATCCCTGGAACAAATCCATTGGGAATGCATTGAAAGAAGGATGAGAAGAAAATCGTGATTGCGTGATTTTAATCACAACGTGTATCATTATCATAAAATGCATGTTCTAAGAGGAACTGCATACAGTTGAACAAGCAACTATTTTTCTAGCATCTCCTAACTTTTGATAGATTTACCCTGTAAACTTAAAAGGACTTATTCCATGTTGCTTTTATTGTGTAGTGCACTTATCCACATGGGGAAATTGACTGGAATAACTATTGTGGGATAGAGTACCCCTCAATAGTTATTCCAGAATTTTTTTTTAATAAAAATGTCCACAAGGGAGGCTATTCTGGACTAGCCATTGAAAAGTAACTTATTCTGCACTAGCTATTTTAGTCAATTTTCCCACATAGACAAGGGGTAACTTTATGTATTTTTAACGTGAAGTCTCTTATTTGTCTTCTTCCTACAGGCTTGTCTACATGAGAAAATTTACTGACAGAGCAATAGCAGTATATTTATATCACTATAATTATATCTATATATTTTATGTACTTACAGCTACCAATGTGGATATTTTTATGCCAGAATAAAAGTATTCACTCTGGGAGTTATACCAGCATAATTTTACCACTAGAGCTCTGCTAGTAATTTCCCCATATAAACAATCTCTGAAATAATCTAACCAAGATTTTTTTACATCTTCCTTTGCATGACAATTTCTCCAAGCCCTTCATAAGCTTGTATCAGTCATATATTTTACATTACCAATACGGCATGAGCTATAGTGTTTGTTTACCTGAAATATGTACATGGAGTATCTTTGAACAAGGTCATCCAATACACTCAGATTTTTGCAGATGTGTAAAAACTGTTAATGCTTCTTATGTATACTTTTAACGTGGGTTTTTTGCTATGTAAAGACCAAAGTTAATGCTGATAAGGTAATAGCGAAGTCTCTGAACTGTGTGATCTGGAAGAAAGGGCTGTTCAGGAGGTCAGCTGTTACAATCCTAACACTGAAACTCAGTTATTTCACTGCAGTGTGCTTCTCTCCTCTCCCACGTTACAGGTCTGTCTTGTTTAAATTGTGCAAGCTTTTCCTGGCGAGAAAGGTCTCTCACTCTAGATTTGTGTAGTGCTAGGGTTTGTAAAATGGTTTGCTACACTAACTAAGCAAACAAACAGCCTAACCAAAAGTAGGAGGATCTGTCTGCCCACCAGATTCTGAGCAATATAATTCATTATATTGACCCATTCAAAAACTTCTCATTTCCAAAGAACATAAACTACATTTTAGTTAAAAGAATTGCCCTCATAAGTCAATTAATGGCCGATACCATTTTTATGAACATTTTTAGCATTGATTACAATTCTCAAGGCATGTTTACCTTAAGCACCATCCATGACAGCACTTAGCAGTTCTTACTGGTAAGAGTCACTCTACTTAACAATATACAATCTACTATATGGAAAAAAAAAGGAGGGAAAGCAGATCAGGAAACTCAGCAGTGAGGAGGACAAACAGAAGGGAGAATTAAGGAGAGCCAGGGAGCAATACTTACTGCTGACTAACTGGCCAACACTCAAAGCTGAAGAGGAGGAGGATGAGGAGGAAGAAGAGGAAGCCTGACGCACTGGGCTTTGAGACATAGATGCTTGACTGTGAGCCAAATGCAGGAGATTGGGTTGTGAGGCTGCTTGTCCCACTTGCGTCTGGGAGGGCTGATGGAGCTATATGTTAAAATGTAAAAATAGGTATTTAGAAAATGAAGCAGTAATAGGAAACTTTCAACGTACCATCTCACCCATCTACTTCTGGGGAACAAACCCCATAGGAGCATTAAATACCATGGACTTAGTTCAGGTGACAGAGCGTTACAGCAGGAGCAATCTGAGCTCCTTTGAATTCTGACTTTCCATTTTTTCTCAGTTTAATCAGATACTTAATCTAATTAGAAGCTAAATACTTGTTTGAAATCGATGATAAGAGACCTATGACATTCCCAGCAGCATTCTGATTTAATAAATACATGTCCTTACCTGTTTTCTGACTCATGAAGTCAGACTTTTATTCCCTACATGGATTCTCATATAAATCAGCATTGTTTCAGAGAGGTCCTTTCATACTGCAGGAACAGGGCAAAGAAGAGTGGGAATGGGGAAGAGAAGATAAATTGGGGGAAAATCCCTTTCCTACAGAAAGGAATAATTAGTTTTATGACATTAGATCTAGCAAACAAACCAAAATGTTGAAACCTTATTTCTCAATTGATAAGTTGTCCTTGCCTAAAACACACAGTGAAACATCTGAGCCCCGTTCACATCAGGACTGTGTCAAGTAAGACATACCTAAAAAGTCTAGCGAGTATGGTAGATGAAAAAGATACACTGTGATACATGAATCTGGCTTTACAATTTTTTTTTTTTTTTTACAAATTTTACAACAGTGTAGTCTTTGGTTGTTCACTAGGGAAAAGGAAAGAACCATTAATCCCTTCTGCCTATAATAAGCTTTCACGTGGGATTGAAAACTAGGAACATTCTCTGGTACTGATTTTTACATAAAACTCCCAGCAAATTCAAAGGGCAGTCTCTTTACAGAATGAAGGTACACAATGGACCTTACAGCTTTGAATTGGCTTCTAGTAGTCCAGTACAGCCTTTTCAGAGCCTAATAATACAGTAATACAGTCCTGATTCAGGTGACTGCTACTTATTATATCTTTATTTTATGTTGATTCTTGATATTGATCAAAAAAGATTGCAAAAATGTACTAAAAGGCTTCACTTTCAAGTGATAGCTGTTATCTGCATTCTCAGAAAGGGAGAAAGATAAAGGCCTATTTGGCCTTGCTTGAAGTCAGCAATTTAAATCTATTTCATGAATTCTAAGGAGTATGAGGTTTTTCTCTTTTGATATTTAACTGAACAAATGACTTCAGAAAAGGAGCTGAATTCATTAGTAATAACCAAATTGTACATTATATGCTCCCAGGACACATAGACATGACTGATGCTAAGTAGACAACAAATTGTATGGCATAGTAGATAAAGGTATCCAATCACATTCAAGATGACACTTTTCTGTGGAATACATATGAACAATTTCAATGACGTTACTTCTGTTATGGGTCTGTTTAAGAATGGAAAAAATTACAACTCCTTTTTCTACCTCCCACATGGAATGATACAGCACAAAATGAAGCAAGAAACTTTGAGTTACCCTTTAATAATAATGAAAATTATTTATCTGACCAGTTTTAGCCTATTCTGACTTCCCTAGGGATTAATAAACAAGAGCATTTTATTATCTCAAGGAGCTTTTTTGGATCAAGCACATTTTAAAGAAGAAAACTGGCACTGTATCAAAGGGATAATAGTTGACAAGCTGATTGAAAGGCTTCCAGATTTCAGACTGATGCAAGCACTGCAAAAAAATTTCACTTTGGGCTGGATTTTATCTATAGAGAGCTCCCAACCCAGAACGTCTACTTTTATAATATCTTCTCCTAGGGAAGCAGTCCACTAGGAGGGCTGGCCTCCTCTGAACATGGCAGAAATGGACTGCCCATCCGCTACACCCACATCACTTCAGACTGCAGCTTTTAGAAACAGGCAGGTGTTTGGGCTCTGGGTCTGCTGTCCAAGGGAATCTCTGGCAAGACTAAAGATTTCAGCCTAGGTGAGGGAAGAAAAGTATTGTATTTAGATGAATTAGATGCTTTCGCGCTATCTATCTGGAACAGTCTTAAAAATGTTAGTGCTTATCTGTGAGGATGGAGGAGAAAATGCAGTAGCTATCTTTAAAAAGAAAGATCTGCAAAATTATAGTCCAGTCAACTAAACTTCAACCCATGGAAAAGTACTGAAGAAAATAATCAAACAATTTGTAAGCACCCGCAAGAAAACAAGGTAGCACAGACAACATGGATTGTTAGGAACAAACTGTGTCAAACCAATCTGATCTCCCTCTAAGACAGGGTAATTGGCCTTGCGGACAGGGAAAAAGCAGTAGGTGGTTTGACTTTACAAGTCTCTCGACACTCCCTCGTGTGACATTCTTTATAACCTAGGGAAACACAGTTTAGATGAAATTGCTGCAGAATGAATGCAAAAGTAGTTAGAAAACAAAACTGAGAGGATAGATATCTATCTGTGGAAACAGAAGCGTGCATGGATGGTGCTTCACAGAATTCTGACCTCATTCTGCATTACTTAATATTTTCCTAATGACCTGGATGATGGAGAAGAGAATATACTTATTAAATTTACATGCCGATGACATGCTGGGAGGGACTTTTGATAGGTTGGAATACAGGATTAGGATTCAAAATGATCCTGTCAGTTTGAACATGCCACCAGCAATGCTGGGGTGTTGCAAAAGTGAAGAAAAGGCAACTCCCATAGCAAGGTGTATGAGCGGGACTGATGTCTGCAGTGCATGTGAAGAATCTTCTCTTCTACTAAGCACTGGAAAGACCTCTGCAGGGGGGGCACCGTGTCCACAGCTAGATGCCACACTTCAGAAAAAATCTGGACCAACTGGAGGAGAATAATTAGAGTGGCTGAAGGCCTGGGAGTTACCTGAGGCTTATGAAGACAACTGGAACGAACTGGTCGTGTTTAATCTAAAGAAGGGAAGACTGAGTGGGATATGATGCCTGCCTCAAATACAGGCAGAGCTAATGAAAAGAGGAGAGAATGAGTCTGTCTTACATTTTACAGTGGAGAGAATGAGGCGCAATAACCTGGAAGATTCAAATTAGATGCTGGGAAAAGCTGTCTAACTGGCAGTGAAGCACTGGCATAAATTGCTGGGGGAACCTGTGGAGTTCCTATGAGAGTGCTTAGGAGCAAGTTAGACAAATACCAGAATAGCTACTCTGCCTGAGAACAACAGAGTGGACTGGATAATCTCTTGAACCTTGATCTTCCAGCCTTAATTTTTTATGATTCTATGCTATTTCCCATCAGTATTTCTCAGGGAGAAATACACGATCATGTAAGACACAGATGGCGAATCCAACATTTTCCAGCCACACTAAACATATAGAACCTGAACAGTTCAACTGCTGAGCACGTACACAGTAAATCTGAAGCTTCCGGGAAGCACCAGAATGAGAGGGCACTCTGCATTCTCCAGTTGTGCATGCAAAGCATGCACAAAGCCACAGCCACTACGTAGCACATGCACAGTATGCTGGTTAAGTCTAGGAAATGTTTGATTCTCTGCACATGTATTGCACAACGCTTTTGAAAATGTATTTTTGAAATAACTGGGATACCCAGAAGCTTGGTAGTTTTCTTGTCAGGCATCCAGAAATCTTTCGACAAATGTAAGAAATTCTCAAAATTTAGCTGGGCAAAAAAGGATATGGCTAGTGAAGTCTGGATGCACAGCGACCTTAGGTGTAATAGCAATATATAAGGGATATTTACAGATTGTTGGTTTCTAACTCACTGCTTGTGAGGAAAAAGGGAGCAATGGGGTTGGAGAAGCTGAAGAGTCACCTTAAGGCCTGACCAGGGACTGAGGGAGGATTCCATCTTTAACTCCCTACATAATTTCCAGCACACCCCCTGTTTTACAGACATGACGGTTAAGCTGTAAATGTCCTGCTTAAAGAACAATGATAGTTATCTGTGTCATGAAATTGCATTAAAATACTCTCTCTCTTTTCATCCACTATAATTTCCACTCCAGAAATAGCCTTAAGGAGAGGCGACGATCAGATTATGAATTAGATTCTAGATGACAGAATCAATTCAAACTTGCAATAGCTGACTTTTCCCAATTTTGCACACGTACATATGATATGAATTATATTTATGACTGTTGTGCATTTTCCATCCAAAGACAGAAGGAGGTACAGAAATTACAGAAGCAGTTGCTGTAAGTGCCATTCTGTGTAGGTGGATATAGTAGACATGCCGAGAATGATGACTGTATGCAACACTGATCAGTATCTGGCAGGAATATATGTACGCATACTACTGCTAGAGGAATAAGATGAATATGAGAAGCATAAGGTGCAGCATAATACTTTATAAGAATAAACTGAAAAATGCAAAGGGCCTGATTCTTATTTCTTTTACATGAGTTTTACATGCTGCTGTCAACAGTGAAGGTAGTATTGATTGATAATTGCAGAGGCGAAGAATGAATTAGGTCTGTAAGACTAAATTTTGTTCTTAAATTATGTATGTAGGATACTCCTACACCTGGGATGGTTGACTGGAGTCCTGTATTAAGGTCTTCTTATGAGATCAGGGATGTTGTTCCCTGCATCCAGAAGGTTACATGACAATGATAGAGTAACACGGTATTTTGCATAAGGTAAGGAAAGAGAAAGAAACTAAGTGGAAATAAAGAACAAACTTTTGAGAGAATATTGCCCATAACAGAACTGCTACTGGTTTTGCAGAAAGTCTGGACAAACAGCAGGGGCAAAACGTGGCCCTAATGGAAAGGAGAAGAAAGTAATGGGTTTAAATTGCAGTAAGGGAGACTAGGGTCAGGCATCAGGAAGACCTTTCTAATGCTAAGGAGAGTGGCCTAGGTTGCCTAGGGATGTCAGGGAACCTCCATCACTGAAGGTTTTTAAGAACAGGTTAGACAAACATCTGTCAAGAATGATATAGGGACAGTTGATCCTGCCTAGGGGGAGGGGATGGACTGCATGACCCCTTCAGGTCCTTTCCAGTCCTATTTTTCTATGATTCAGTGAAAA